GGCCTTGCTCGTCAAGGTTCGTGTTCCGGAGTTATAGAGTTGAGAGAGGGTTATAACCACAAATAAGTAGCCTCCTCGTCTGTAGTGGCCTTCTCGGCCTTGAGGAGGTGAATTAAAATTAAAAAAAAAAAAAAAAACACACACACAAGAATTATTCTTTGATTTTCCAGAGATTAATTTCTGTTTCATAAAAAAAATCGAATTAAAAATAATATCTGCTTAGTATGGAGGTACCGTTAACTCTAATAGTGAAGCACAAAAATAAGCAAAGATATTCATTCCGTAACTCTTTTCTTAATGCCGCCTTACTCAAAGTCTGATATAATGATAAGATTGTGCCAACCTTTATTCCAGAAAGGGCCCATTTTCTTTATACTTCACGTGGGTTGTTTTACATGCAACCATTAATTGTATACAAAATATTAATAACTAGAAAAAAATATAATTAATTAAATTCACATTGATAGAACTTAATATAATTAGAAAAGTCAAATTCCTAAAGCCATATAAAGACTCACATTATTAATTCAACGAAGAATTGTCCTCCATTTAGTTGTCTCAGTTTTGATTTGTTTTTGAATCTGTACTAGTGGAACTGGTAAGCCGAATAAATACCTTTTTCAGAAAAAATACCCATGAAAAAGATCAATTAATATTGCCAAGCCATGTCGAGCATAACATTCTCCTAGCTGGATAAGGCTCCTCCGTCTGATTCTGATGAATTACATAAAAATCTATTTAACTCAACTATAGGAGAATGAGTTTTAATTTTCAATGATCCAGAATCCTCTGATTCAAGGTTAGTATTTATAGAGTATTTTAACCTTTTTAGGTTGTAACCTAAAAATATTAAAATGCTGCTTGAAAAAGTAGCGTTTTTATCATAAAATCGTCAACAAAATTCAACTTTTTAAACAACAGCGTCACTCACCCATGAAAAGCACAAAAGAAGAACACAGTTGTAAGCGCTATTAACATCGACTGATTTAAACCAAAATTCGATCAGCTAGCACCATAGTCATCGACCAAAATACTGTTTCGGTACCGGTTTCGGCCGAAATTCCAGTTTAAACCGACACCGAAATTTCAGTTTCGTTATTTTTTATAAATTCGGTAAAAAGCAAAATTTCTGTTGAAAAACATACCGAAAACCGAAAATTTTGTAAGATGTGATTTTTATCTAATTGAGAAAAACAGTTATTTTTAAAAATTTTACAAAATATTTTAAGAGTTTTTCCAAAACTTTGAGAAATTTTTACAAAATACCTTGAAAAAATCTTGTTTTTCTTTTTTGAAAAAATCTTGTTATAAAATCTGCCAGTTGTTAACTTTAAAGTTAAAAGCTTTTAACGCTATTAACTTTTATCGCCAACTTATGTATTAAATCTCCACGTGTAATCAATTCTAATATAATACGAGTTTTAAAAAACAACAAATATAAAATTGATTCATTGATCATTTTTCAAAATCAAAAAGGTGAATGGTCTTATGTCAGCTAGTGATATTTTTTCTGTTTAAAAAAATGTTTAGGTTTGTTCACTACCAGGGTTGCCACCAAATCAGGGAATTCAGGGAAAATCAGGGAAATTTAGATAAAATCTGGGAAAATCAGGGGGAAATGATTGATTTAGGAAAAAATCAGGGAAAATCAGGGAACTTTTTATTTTTTCTTTAATGTTTTTAAATTTTTTCTAATAAAAATCTTCCTTTTTAAGGGTACCAGGGTTAATGTTTGACATTTTTAAAGAAAATTAATCATATTGTGTTTACATTAATTTAATGTTTGCAACATAATTCAAAGAAAAATAGTTAATTGATCCTTTGTTTGAAAAATGGCTGATAATAGGCAAAAATGTCCAACTGGATCTAAATATTCAGTTTTAGAGCAGCAATTTAAATCGTGTTGAATCCAGATACTTTGACTATAAATTTTTAGGTTACCCCACAGCATAGAATTTACTTAAAAGTATGACTCAACTAAGTATGGAAGGTACAAATGTGAACTGTTCCCTTCTTAATCTTCTTGAATTGCAGCATGATCAACAAGAGCTACCTAAACTTCTTAACGTTGGAAGCTGTAACCTTCATCTAATACATGGTTTCAAATCGGGTTTTCAATCTGCTGAATGGAATATAAAGAAGTTAATGAAAACATCATACAACCTTTTTTATGATTCTTCAGCTAGAAGAGCTGATTATGTAACTGTTAACTAAATGTGAGAGTTTTCCTTGTGCATTTCGCTCTACACGCTGAGTTGTAGACCAAAAAGTTGTAGATAGACTTTGTTTATTTTTGGAAGAATGTTAAAAAAAATAACCAAGTATTGGGAGACTCTTTCTAAAAGTAAGTAACCACAATGAAAGAGCTATGACAAGTGTTTGGGGCAGAGTTGTTAACAAGGCCAAAATTATCAAGACCAAGGCCAAGGCCGCTCATTATAAGTCCAAGGCCAAGATCAAGGCTAAAAGTTACAAGGGAAAGGCCAAGAGTTTATGGTTAAGGCCAAAACAATCAATGCCAAGACCAAAATTTTCAGGTCAAGGACTAACAACTCTGGTTCGAGGGAACAAAAGATAAGTTAATTCTGACTAAATTGAAGTTTTTTGGTTACATTGCAAGTTTTTTGCAGAAAATCTTATTGAGATATCAAACCAATGCCCAAATGATTCCCTTTCTTTTTGAAGATTTGTTCTCAACTGTTGAAAGTTTAATGGGTTTAATTATAAAACAAGATCTCCTTAGCATCGTTAATGGCAGGAAACTTCAATAATATTCAATAATAACTTTCTGCTATTAAAATTAATGATAATAGGATTTGCTGCAGAACATGACATTATCGAATTGAGAAAAAAAGGATGCATTATCTCAGGATGTCATCATAGATTCATAAAAGATTGCTGTCTCATTATCTTTGGAATTCTGGAAAAAATAATAGAAAGAAGTTTAAATCAATTTTCTTTTCTGGAAGCAACTGCTTGCATCAATCCAGTGTCAAATCTTTCTAAACATAAAGCTGATCTTCTTCACCAGATGAAATCTGTACTACATCTAGTTCTTTCTTGCTCACATATTACTTCAAATGAATGTGATCAAGCTTTCATACAATTTTCAAAGTTGTTAGAGAAAAGTTCATCTACTTTTATTTTGAAACAAATAAAGTTGGTGTAGATTATAAGGTTTTGTAAAAAGTTTTGATATTTATTTTTATGTCATGGGCAAGCATCAATTGAGAGAGGTCTCAGTATTACCAGTAATATACTCAGTGAAAAAATGAAAAGACTGTCACTTATATCTTGTCGCAATATCAAGGATTTTATGGTGTCAAACAAATTAAAGGCTCACAAAATAGAAATAAACAATGAAATGATAAATGGTGTTGTAGTGCCTCATTACAATAAAAAAACTATTTGGTGGAAAATAGAATACTCCAAGAAAAAGAAAATAGCGTGATAATGCTTTTAGATCAGGGAATATTAGGAAGAAAAGAAAAAAGTATTAAACGATGTATGTAAAACATACAGTTAGAAATTTATTACATTCATTTCATTTTTTTGAATTTCCTTATCTTGTATCCTAGATAAGTCTGACAGGTTTTCAATGCCTGTTGAACATATCCATTTTAAATATACCCTGGTTCGAAGAAAAATTTCATATGTTGATTGAAGTATTTGATTATTTATTTTAATTTTTAAGCAAATTGATTGGTTAATTACTTATTGGGGGATAAAATGCTCTGGGGTTATTAGGGAAGTTTTAATGCTAAGTTTGGGCATTTAAATGCTGGAAATATCAAGCAAATTTCAAGGGGAAAAATCAGGGGAAAAAAAGAAAAATTTCAGCAAAAAATCAGGGAAAATCAGGGAGAAAAAAGCAAATTTTTGGCAAAAAAATCAGGGAAAATCAGGGAATTTTGTTCCTAAATAACAGTGGCAACCCTGTCACTACGTTGTTTCTAGAACCAGTGGAAGAAGAAAAACCCAATAAATATGGGCATCATGTTAACGTCCAATCAGTATTGATAATACTGATTGAACGTTAACATGATGCCCACATTTGTTGGGTTATTCTACTTCCACTGGTTCTAGAAGCAATACTATTGATGCAGCTTCTGTTAAAATGTGTATTTATGATGCGTCTTTTTAAATGATGTTATCATTTAGAAAGACACATCATAAATGCACATTTTAACAAGCTCAACAATAGTATTGTTTCTAGAACTCAATAAGCCTACTTGTTTTGTTTCATTCTCAATTTTGATTTTCAATTTTGATTCTCAATTTCATTCTCAATTTCATTCTCAATTTTGATTCATTCTCAAGTTTCATTCTCAATTTTGTTTCAACTCAATTAAGCCTACTTTGTTTCATTTGCTTGCTTTTTTTTGTGATCGTTTTAGAAATACTCACATCATTGATGTGAGTCTTTCTAAAACAAAAAGCTCTAAAACTAGACACTGATGTGTCTTTCTAGATGATCATCTAGAAATTTAAATCATCTAAAAACTAGAAAGTTTTGCAGTTTATATCACAGGGTGACTAGATCACAAAAAAAAGCAAGCGAATGAAACAAAACAAGTAGGCTTTATTGAGTTGCATGTCTATTACTACGAATCAACATTTTATGGTAGCTCATCTTCATAGTTTTGGACAAAAAATTTGTAATGTAAATCTATATTGAAATGAAGTTGTTGTATATTTTTAGATCCTATGTTTCAATATACAACATTAAGACTGAAGGAGTATAAACCACAAAATCGCAACATTACAATAGTTCCATTTTTTGTAAAAGCCCTTTTTTAAAAAGTAGAAATTTATTTTACATTAGATCTGAAGGGGGTAAACAAAAGGTAAAATAGTTGCGAAGCAGCATATTTTTACCTTGTATTATTTTTTCTAAGTATCTGCTTGTGTCATGGGTGTTAACATATCAAATAAAATAAATATCTTTTTTTAATTATCCTCATATGTTATGAGTTTGCTCAATTCAATTTATATTTTAGATGTTTTGGCCTACTACTCTGTTTTATCTGTTGTTTTTGCAAGTCCTATACTTAGGCTTACTGATCACATTGAACAATGTCAAGTAATTGGAAACTTCACAGACGAATCTAATATTAAAAGAATAGCAGACACATCATGGTTAAATGGTTGTACTGGGAATAAATTTATAACAGGAGTTTGGTCAGAAGATGTCACTGGAAGATTTGTCAAAGCAAAGTGCTGTGGCAATTTAACAGACAATCAATTTACTTGGGAAATAAGAGATTTATCTTTTTTTCATAAAGGAAGTTCTAAAGTTAATGAAAAGTGGAATATTGAATGTAATAAACATGCCATAATTACAGGTAAAGTTGAGCCTATTAGTATATTTATTTATTTTTCTGTTCCTAAAACCAAATAGCAACATTTTATGAGTTTTATCAGTTTGTACTTAAAAGTAAAAATTGAATACACCCCAAATAATGTTGCCATACATCAAAAATGCAGAGTCCCAAAAAGGGCTCTTTCTGTAAATCTGTGAATTGAAAGTCACAAAAAGATTACTTCTTCCTAGTTTTTGGTATCCTAAAAACTTAAAAAAGTTTATAGACTACTATTAGGAAAAAAACCTTTTAGTTACGAGGAATAATCATTTTTTGAACCTGGAGTCCTTCAGTATAATGGCGGTAAGAACTCCAGGACTCTGGGCTTAAAAATAACAAGTTCCAAGTCATTAAATCTCATGAATTTTTTTCTTATAGCAGATCATAAGTCAACAAACATGTTTAGAACTTCTGGACACCACAGACCTGAAAAAAATAGAGATATAAAACCTGAGTCCTTTTGGGACTCTGGTTTTATATTTCCATCCCTGAATATAATGATGTTTTTCCGTTCCGCATCCCTGTTATACATGATGTTAAGTGACACATTTATGTTGGCACAATTATTTTCAACAAGGTAGTCCATGCTTTACTTAAATATTCTTATATTATTATTACTACTACATATAATTTTCTGTTTAAGTATTGTATAAAGCATTTGCTTTTTGTTTTTCAATATTTACTTAAAGTTAGTACATATACTATATGTATATATTCCTTGAAATGTAAAATTTATTTCAGAATATTTTTTATTTGATTTAATTACTAGACAATAGTTTCGTAGAAACTGCTGTATATATATCTTAGTACTAGATGTATATATACTTAGATATATATGCTGTATATATATATCTTAGTACTACTGTATATATATCTTAGTACTAGATAATGGATGCATTTGATCATGAACTGATTCCTGAATCAAAGTGATATTGTCAGCACTGGTCATAAATTCATTGTCAGTAAATAATATGTCAGTAAATGAAATGAGATATGTTCTTGTGTTGCTGCCAGGAGGTGGTTGGCTTATAAACCAATCCTGCCAGTTTTTTCTGGGAAATATAGAAAAATAAGCTTGTATATGATATAAACATTTATATATCCTAATGTATATTTTTATTATTCAAAATTTATGTTGTATTTTGTATATATATGCATATATAAACATCATTATGATCAACATGATCATCATAATAATCATTACCATCATGATCATGATCATCATGATCATCATCATCATCATTATCATTGTCATCATCGTCGTCATCATCAAGCTTTAACCTTCCTCTTTATGCTGTTTCTCTAATATAAATAATCTAGACCATTATTTTTCTTAACTAAAGATCATTCATACAATATAATAATACTCTCTTTAAGTTACTTCTACTACTAGCATTTTCTCTTTAAGCTGCTAGCTCTCTACATGCTGATACCTAAATCAATTATTGCAAAAAGCTAATGTAAAAAATTCCTGTCTAATGTTAAGCTCTGTTATTCTCAGTTTACTAAATCTTGTATCTTATCTCAGATGTTAGGTTCTAGAGACTTATGGTTAGTCTTCAACAGTGTCATTAACTAAAGTAAGTCTAACATTTAATCTCTATTTCATGGGTCTGATCTTTTTACTTCTCTCCAGAAAGCAGAGTTATTTGCAAAGAAATCTTACTTTAACTTGACTCTTGAATATAATAGCCATACTCTTCCTGACAGTTAAAGGGGTTAACCAATTGTTAAACACGGAAATCGCTCTGGCTTTCAATGCTAAACTCTTTGTTCAATTTGTGCTCCAGACAAGACTTTTAAGACATCATAGTATTAAAAAGGTGTTCTCCAGAACTCTCCTAACTTTTTGATGAAATTTTTAAAAAGTGCTAAATAAGAGGTTCCAATTTTTCAAAACTATAGAAAACACTTTAACTTCTCCAACTATCTTACAATTAGTCTTTACTCTGTTATTATTTTCTTCATACAAAATTGTTGGGATTATTAAATTATTTCTTTCTAACTGCATTATTAATGTTATTCTTGAAGGTTTACACTCTTCTTTATTTCAAGTAAAAAGATAACACAAGGTTCTATCTTTACTCCTAAAATTTTACATCTAAAGTGGCTCTATTTGCGTACAACTCTATTTTATACTCTTTATTTTGACATTAAATCTTCACTTTTTGATTGCTTAGAACAAGCAGCTGACTTTTAATCTGATCTCTCTCCTGTAACAGGCTTGTAGTGGTTTATGGATTTAACTTCTGAACTTAAAAACCACATTTTTTGTTTGAGAACAAAATTCATCTATTTACTGCTAAGAAATATTGCAATATTGTTGGCATTCCTATATTGACAAATAACAACCTTCTTACTCTCAAACAAAGTCTAGAAGCACATGGTAAATGTAATTAGACCTGCTTTATCTGTCAAGCTTGAGCCACTCTCCCATTGTTGTAAGGTTGCATTTCTTTCTTAATTAATGGCTGTGTTTTGTGCCAAGTTTGTGTCTTCTGGTGTACTCAATGCTAGTGTAGAGTTTCTATATAGAAAATATCTGTACTAGATGCAGCCATCTAGATTAGTTTTATCTCAGTTGGGGCAATTGTGTATTATTTGTTGCACTATAGGAGTATGCTAATTTGCGCAGTTGCACCACACTTAGACTGTAATATATTTTAGTATCTTTTTCAGTTAAAAAAACTTGTTGCATCATATACCCTGGAAGAGATGTTATGTTTTTTCTGTATAATCTCTTCAATGTATTGACATTTATTCTAAATTGCCTTGTGGGTACTTTGTAGCCTCCATATGTTTGGTTTATGTAATAAAACCAAAAATAACAATTTTTCTTGATATGAATATTTTTTTTGAAATTTTTATATAATTTCGCTTGGTTTGAACCAGTTTGACATATTTTTTGTAAAGTTTTTTTTTGAAAGTATTAGGGACCTATTAAATATTCTAGGGTATATATATATATATATATATATATATATATATATATATATATATATATATATATATATATATATATATATATATATATATATATATATATATATATATATATATATATATATATATATATATATATATATATATATATTTGAAAGACCGGATAAAGTTTAAAATCAAACCCTCAGTCAATGTAGAAGCACTCTTTTGTAGCTCTAGGCTATAAGATAGTCAATGAAGCAGCACTCTGTGCATGTTTTACAGTAAAAAAATTTAAGTAAAAGCATTCAGAATGTTTTTTATTTAAAAAAAAAAAAATAACAACATTCAGACTGTTTTATATATATATATATATATATATATATATATATATATATATATATATATATATATATATATATATATATATATATATATATATATATATATAAATATATATATATATATATATATATATATATATATATATATATATATATATATATATATATATATATATATATATATATATATATATATAGTTATTCTTTTAAAAAATGTCTCAAATAATATAATTTTGTAAAACTGTTTGTTTTACTTGTTAAAAAACTAAACTACTTCATTCATGATATGCTGAAACGATTGTGAAAATTTTTTTTTTTGAATTTTCCGATGTAAAAATAAAAAATAAAAATTGAACAAGTTATTTCAAACAGCTGTATTATTCTGTGTTTTGTTAAAAGATAAATAATTAGTGTGCTAAAAAGCAGGCAAAATATGCATGTGTTGCAAAGGAGTTCAACATAATAGTCCAGGTTTTCAGTATTCTTTGGGAATTTGTAAACTTATACAATAAGAACTGTTAGATAATAAAAGAGAATTTCTTTTTTGTATAATCACACATTTTGCTTAATTGATTGATAAACTAGTTTGTCATACTTTAAAGTTGTTTAAAGTAGTGCATCCCTGTATACTTCCGTGTTAACTTCCTGGTTTTTTTTGAAAAAGCCGGCAGTTTATTTAACATGCTAATATTGTGAAAGTGGTATGAGTGAAAGTGAAGAAACTGCATTCAGTTTTGAAATTGAAGCTTTTTTGGACTAATTTATTTAAAATGAATATTTATATATAATTTATAACTATATATATTCCTTTTGTATGATAAAAATAATACTATATGATTTCTTCATATTTTATTTTCGTTTTTATACTTGCTCTATATTTACTACATTTAAATATATTTTACAGCAATAAACCTGATATATAAAGTAATACTGCATTCAATACCCTTCTATTGGTTCTATTCATAAAAAAATGTAAAAAAGATTTTTTTTTTTAATTCATATAACACTTTTTTTATACATGCCTATATTATATAAGAATATATTTAAGAAGTATATATACCAGAATCTTGAAAAATCTATTGGTACTAAGTTTCTTAGAAATTAAAAATTTGATTTTCTCAAATTTTAACTTACATATCACATCAATATAACATATATTTTCTCCTAATTTCCAAAAAGTATATAAAATCAATTACGAGTTCATAAAAAAATGATAGTAAATTGAACGAAAATGATAGTAAATTGAACAAAAACGATAGTAATAATTAAAATTTTAGTCTAAAGAGTTGAAAAACAATTATTAAAGAATAGAACCCTTAGGTTCAAGATTTATTTTAAAAAAGATTTCAATATAATTATCACTATATCTTTATAGCTTAGAGATATCACGGGTAATTTTTTAAAATTTAATTTACAAAGCACAAGAAAAATGAATCAACTAAAGAAGCACAATAAAAAATGTTATATTTTATTCCATTATTTAAGACTTTTTTATTCCATTATTTAAGACTTTTATTAATACTCAAATAGATCTTGCAAAATTGCTACGTTCATTTCATATTTTTTACGCAAATAGATCTTGCAAAATTGCTATGTTCATTGCAAAATTTTTTACTCAAATAGATCTTGCAAAATTGCTACGTTCATTGCAAAATTTTTTAAGCAAAAGTCAAGATGCTTGAATAAAGAAACGTGATGGTTGCGAAGGTTGTTTTTCTGCGATTTTTTGCTTGCAAATTATTGGTTCGACTATATTTGCAATAAACTCAACAAAAATCCAATTATACAACTAATAAAACTGGAGAATAAAGGAATTAAGTATGAATAAAAGTCGAGAAACAAAACCAAAGCCAAAACATAATAACTAAAACTCAGCAAGTAGAGCACACACTAATAACTCTTAGCAAAAGATAAAAACTGCAGTGTAACTTCAAAAAAAAAAAACTATTATCTCAACTTTACAAGTATACAACTATTCAAAGTTTAATTACCTAAGTCTTTTTTAATGATTTGTCACTCTCCTACTTGTTATTTTTTATATATAATGACATTTTCATTTACAAAGAAAAAAAGGAACTTTTGAAAAAAAAAAGAACTTTTATAATAAAATAATTAAGATCATTTGTTTTTATAAAACAACTATTTGATGTATAACAGTTTTTTATATATTGTTGTTTTATTAAAATGATAGATTATATTTTAACATTTGAATATTGTTTGTTATTTATTATTTAATTAATTACTAAATTATTAAATAAAAATTAAATATAAAAAGTTATTTAAATAAAAACGTTAGGTTTTTCTTTTTTTTGCAAGTTGTTTTTGTCTTTTTATTGCTAAAAAAGCATTTATTATTACAGTTAAAATTTTTACTTTACCTGGCATGAAAAATCAACAAAATAAAATTTCAAAATAATAAAAAATTACATCAAAAGGTAATAATTTTATTTTTTCAAAAAAGCTTGTGCAAGACTATCTAGGCGGGCAGCCCATGTAGCCCATTAAGACGGGTTTAGGTGTGCTATTTATAGCTTGTACACTCACTTTTTTTCAGTTGTTAAAAAGAACTTGAAGGCACTTGATTCCTTGTTCTGCCCACTGATTTGTTCTGAGAGTTTAATTCTTTTTCCTGACCATGCAAGCTATCACATTGCTTCTAATAGTCATCTGCATTGTACATTTGGTCAGTAAACCAATGGTATGTTCATCTTATTTCAGAGATGAATCTACAAACTTCCAGTTCTGAGTCTCTTCTCTCTTGTAGAAGAAAAAATGCCAAAAGAGCTAGTATTGCTTGGGACTTCAATCTTGCAATTATTAGTTTAGTTATTTTCTGAAAATTTACTTAAGGATATACTTCTGACAAGTTCCTGGATAAATAGATATTTGATGTTGTTTTCTCCAAATTCTTCATCCTCTACTATGAGAAAGACTTGGTCAAGAATATGATGTTGAAAATCAATGAATTTTGGTTCTTCCAGTTTCTTGTTGACTAATATGTTTACCATTAAAGTGAAGTGACCAGTTTTCTAAATTAAGTGTTTTGTTAATTTCTTCTTTATTACAAATATAATCAGCAGGACTTCCAGAAGATCATACGATCTTATCATGAAGCCCTTAACAATATCAAATATAATAAAAATAACAATAAAATAAACCATTGAAAATAAATCAACATAAACTATATATAACTGCATTTAAAATATGAATATACTGGATAAAATATATAAAATAAAAGAAATAAAAAAAAGAAAAAGTATTTTCTGCTGAAAAGATAACTTATTTCTAATTAAATTTTGGAAAAACTATCTTATTCCATAAATAAGGACCGCAATAAGAAATAATTAGTTATTCAAATTTAGTTTGGCAGAATGGTTCTGTTATATTTTTTCCATTGCAAATATTGTATTTTTTTATGGGTTTTACATTATAAAGCTTATAAATACATCAGGAGATAAATGATTTACAATTTACATTTAAACATAAAACATAAAATATTATAAACATTTAGTTCGTATACATTTAAGGTTTTCATATTTCTAAGAAGTGGTTTTGAATTTGAAAAACAATTTACAAAATTAATTAAGTGAGTTGTGTGTTTCTGATGCTGATAAATCTGCATATGATTAATAAGATAGCTTTTGAACCAGGAATTTATCTTTAATTTCATAGAGTTCTAACTTTTTTAATAGAATGTGGTGATTGACAGTATCAAAAGCCATAGACAAGTTGATGAATACTTCTGGCTATAATGAGAATTTTTAAAAGAATCAGAAATGCTTCGTGTTAGTTGGAGAATGACTTTCCAGAGAATAGTTTCTCTGGAAGCAAAATTTGATTATTATATATAAGTTTAGTATCAAAAAAATAATTGTATTTTAATTGTAATTTAAAGTTAAATTAGGTGATGTTATAAACTCATCAATTAATTTGTCATTAAGATAAGGAATTTTACTTGATAAGCTTGTACCAATTGAAAAATTTATTAAATTCAAAACCAATTTTATTAGGGTCAATAAATAATTTTTTTTTTAATTTTTATTGCATTTGGTACTGATATTATACTTTTCTTATTTTTTCCCATGATCTCTTTCATTAGTTGCCATATAATTATGTAATTATCTGATTGATTTATGCTGTAAGGACTTTAGTACATACAATGACTGATATACGAAGAGCATGCTTTGTTACTGCATTAACTGAGAGTTTGGGTTAGGGAAGCAATAAGTTTTTTCATAATACTTCGTTTTTTTCTTCTTTTTTAAAAAGAACTGTATGGGTTTAATTTAGAAAAAAAAGTAGGTATATGTATATCAATATACACTTTAGTATAAATATAAATTATTATGTATGTATATATGTTTATATATGTATAATTTACTCTTAGGTTTTAGATTTGCTGCAGACAATTTTATTTTTCTAAGCTCAGTACGGTGTTCGTTACTCATTGACAAATTTGTAGATAAAAACGATTGCCAACTTTTAGAGTTTAACCAAAAACCGGATCTACGTACAGGCTACAAAGATAAATGGCAATATGAATGTCCAACGGGATTTGGCATGGTAGGATTGTATGATGACCAATCATTTATGTCAATAAAGAAGGCAAAATGTTGTAACATAACAGGTTTTTAAACATATTTTATTTTAAAATTTTGATTACATATCTATAAAATCACATGTCATGTTCTTACATAATTTCAAATTAATGATCTAGGACGACCATTTTCAAGAATCTAGTAATTATTACTTAAATACTAATTAGTTAATTGTTAAATTTGCACATTGGATTTCTAAAAATGTGAAATTTCCGAAAACATCAAATTGAAAACTGTCTAGTAATTAATTGAATTTATCAACTGATGTTGCCTCGATGACATGATCTGGCAAAGCATTCCAGTCATTGACTACTTAGTTGTTAAAAACTTATGTCTAATTTTGCAGTTCCTGAAAATCTCGCGATGAAATCTGATTCAATGTTGAGCTCTGGGTGCTATGCTGTGAGGCATTACGTACCAATCAATTAAGTTTAAGTTGTTGAGAAGCTTATATTTTTGAACAAGATTGCCTCTTTTCAGTCTGTCTTCAAGTGTGGTTAAATTCATGATTTTACATCGAGTTTTGTAGTCTTTATTTTTCAAAGCCTGAGGAACCTTTGTTGTGTTGCGTTGTATTATTTAAAAGATAACAAATTTTCTTTGACAAACAAATAAAAAAACAACAAAACTAAAAGAAAAATTTGGTATAAATAAAAACTAAATTTTTGAAAGTTACTTCAAATACCATATACTTTTTTTTAAGATTTTTTGGTGTTGTTGTAGTAGAAAATGATTTAACATGGCATTAGGTTCATCAAATTTTAAAAAATGTATATATTTTTTGTTATAGATCAGGAAATTAAACCAGGTTGGAAAAGTAATTTTTTTGACAATTTAGCAGGTTATGCTCAAGATAATAATAACTACGATTTTGAATTAGAACCTGAAGGTATTTCAATTGGTTGATATTATTTACTTGGTATTTACTTTAATATTAATGATAGATTTTTATTTATTATTGTTTATTATTATTTCTTTTCAATTTATGTTACAGTTTTCACTATAATTTTTTTATTATATTTTTTTGTTGTTATTATTTTAGGTCATTTAGTCACAAATAAAGGTAGATCTTTTAATCCCAAAGGAGGCTCTACTTTAACTACTCGAATTATTTCACCTGGATTTTCATCTACTCCGTTTTGTTTTTCTATTACACAAGTAATGGCTGGAAATGGTGTCACTAATATTTACTTAAGAAATAATTCAACTGATTTGCTGATAAAACAAATAAAGCCAAATATAAAAGCTTATCCTGAAATATTTGATATAATAATCAAACCATCTTCTCGCTCGCAGGTAATTTTCAATTTTAATATGATAATGCTGAAATTTATTTTCTTGGCAAATTATTTTTAATTTTTTATAGATTTATTTTATTAGAATATTACTATACAAAATTCTATATTTTTTTGTTGTTGTTATATTCTTTAATTTATTAAATATAGTATAAAAGTTTAGTAAATTTAATATAATTAGTTATAACTTTTTCAATTACTTATAATGGTATCAACAGTCTTTAATTGTACTAATTGCCTTATTGATGTTTGATGCTATAGTTGTTTATTTTTATCATCATGAACTGATATTATCTCTAATATTAATTCATGGTAAAAAGAAACTAGAGCTAATAGCTCTATTGATCAGCAACAATGATAGTATTTGTAGAAAAGAGAAAGAGATGCAACTTTACGATGATGGGTGAGAGGTTCAAGCTTGGCAATTAGAAAACGACCGGGGTTGCTATTTGACTAGGGCCGGGTTTGATAAAATATAGCTGGGGCCGGGTTTGTGACCGGGCTGCATAAACATTTATACATCCTAAAGGTTTTTTTTTTTATTCAAAATTCATGTTATATTTTATATATATATATATATATATATATATATATATATATATATATATATATATATATATATATATATATATATATATATATATATGCATAGATAAACATCATTATGATCAACATGATCATCATAATCATCATTACCATCATTATCATAATCATCATCATCATCAACTTCTCTTTCAACAAATACTACACCATAAAAATACTAATGTTTATATAAATATGAAAGGATATTGTATGCCAGCATATGAATAGCAAACATATATGTTTATATCCATTATATGTATGCATAAAATGCATCTCAGAAACTTTTATTTGTTCCGGACTAAAAGTTTGGGAGTTTTTATTCCTACTCTTCAATTTTAAGTCAAACCTTATTCTATTTCATATATTCTATATTCAATTTTCATATTGTTTCTTATCTACAGTATCAAGCTTCATGAAAATTTAACATTTAAAGCGGCACTATTCGTTGAGCCACTCTCCATTGTTGAAAGGTTACATTTCTTTCTTTTTTTTACAAATACAATCATGGTCAATGCTCAAACAAGCTATCATCTTTATTTGGATAAACCAAAACTCACTCTTGCTTGTTTCTTATTCAACAAATTGCATCCTTTTACTGTATCTGTCCCTTCATGCTATAAAAACTTATATTAATCCAGTTTTTTTCCTCGAAAATCAAAAAAACACTATAACTATTAGCCATCTTCTTGTTTTTATTTTTATATACAACCTACAACTTTTCAAGTCTTTAGTTAACCATTTCCTAGTATTTTTACTTATTTTCTGTTTTAAAGTAACTCATAACTTAATAGTGGTTGTTTGCAATTTTGTTGGAAATAAATTAGTTTGAAAATATATAAATATACATCAGTATTTAATAAATAGTAAATGTAAGCATAAAATTATAATATATAAAGTATTATAAACCTTTTTCTAGCCCCGGCTATCAACCCCTGCTAAATCTTTTAGTTTAGCCGGGGCTGGGTTTGAAAAAAGTCTAATTTTTAGCTGGGGCCCCGGTCACTAAATATTGGCAGTTAAAGCAGGTCCAACAGGCTAGCAGGACCTTGTCTAAAAGAGAAAGTTCATCATTAGAAAAACCAAATAAGAAAACAATATTCCATACAGGGACTAATAAGAGATTTGTAGAAGTAGAGAATGAAATCAGGAATAAGATAATGGCAAACACACTAAAGAGAATCTTCCTTAGCAGATTTTATCTAAATCTATACAGTTACAATAAATTCTATGTTTAATACAAATATAGCACTGTTAATAAAAAAGCTTACAATTGGCAGGTACCAAAGCCAATAATGGGAAGATGCTGTTGAATAAAAAACACAGTGAATCAGTCCAAACTTGTAAGCAGCAGGATGTTGTTGAGAGATCCAAAGAGCTAAAAAAATCTCATTCAAGTTTTGGCTATGAAAAAAATAATAATGTATAAACACCATTGTTTATACAATAATTTTTTTTGGCTAATATACAGCTAAAAAATGTCACAGCTAAAATAAGTAAAATAACACAAGGAGATATTTAACTCAAATTTAGCGGATAGCAAAAATTTTTGCAGAAAAAATAACAAATTTACTTAACAACAAAAATTTATTTAACAACAAAAAAAGCAAAGATTTTCATGACTAATATGTTTTAAGTTTGTATAAAACAGATTTTAATCCAGGTATTACGAAAATGGTTAAAAAAACATAATGTTAAATGCCAAATTTTAAAAAAATAAAAATGCGATAAATAAAAGTGTATTACTACTTTAAAATCATTTACAAAATAAATAAACTTTAACGACAAGCATTTCTCAGTGAAAAAATAGTCTTTTTCATTCGAGAACTTGTCGTTCATAAAGAACACACATTAATTTTAACACTGAGTCTAGTGTAATGGTACTGTCGCTTTGAAGTGTAATGGTACTGTCGCCTATCCCTAAATTAGTGGATGTATGTAAGTAATAAAAATCAATGTAACTTTCAATACACAATAATTTTAAATAAAAAATAATTTTAAGTAATGAACCACTGAGATACCACAATGCTAAACGTACAATCTTATATTGTAATTCATTTTAAGTTTTTACAAATAAAACTTTCAAAATCAACCAATAATATTCACAGCCGTGACATAAAATAAACCAATCAAACTTTATTACCGTGACTTTAAGATAAAAAATTAAAGCAACGGCACTGTTGTACTAGCCACAACGTAGTTTTAAAATTGACTTTGCCTAACAGGTTATTTTGTGTTAACATTGTCGTAAAACATAACTTTTTTAATAAAATCTTTTACCCATGAATATAAAAATTAGCAATCATGATTCATAATTCGCTTTAAATAATATACTTTCAAGATCGCTTATGATCCCATCACAATTAGGAGTTTGTGTCATACATATCTACATCTGTATCTGCCATACATATCTACATTATCTGCATTACATATCTGCCATAAATACCAAAATTGCATTCTTTTAAATGCTATTTCTGCTCAAATTGACCGAAGCCTTTTTCTTTATTTACAAATAATATTATTGATTATTGATTAGGCTAAATCGCATTGGAAAAACTGTTTTCTCAATCTTTCACACTTTGTGATCTTGTGTTGACTTTCTTCTCATTTTGTTTTGTTCAGATCATGCTAAAAACTCACCAAAACCTCAATAAACGAAAAAATATAAACTTTTTTATATATCAGATTCATCTTATTATTCTACTTTTTACAACTACCTTGGAGCTTAGTACTGAAAGTCTTTTCATGATTTCTTTTGTATTTGGTCTGGTATCTTTTGTTTCCCTTCTAAGTATTAGACTTAGTAAGTCTTCTGGATTCATGCAGGCATAAAAGATCTTATTCTTTGATGGTTTTTCTTCAGCAGCTTCTGTTTTTAATTGTAGACTTTTTTAAATTTCTTTATCACATGTCAATTTAAGTATCGCAAGAAATTGAAGCCAAAACATAGTCTAATGTCAAGGTTCAATATTTTCATATTACAAGTTTTTATCACAAAAGTTTTGAAATTATTGAAATTTAAAAAAAAACTTTTGAAATTTTAGAATATCAATAATATTGTCATTTTAAATAAATGTAACTTTAGGATTTATCCATATATGGGTCTCGTCTTTTTTTATTCTAAAAGAAAATTCAAATTTATTGCCTTAAAACTCTTCCTCTTTTAAATGTCTAATGATGGAGATAATGATGGAGATGATGGATATTCTGATATTCCACACAAACAGGTTAAACCATTGTTAAACATCCAATTCCTTCCATCTTGTTTTGCTCTTTTACAACTTTAGCTTGCATCCAAATCACTCAACCTTCTATTGCTATAGTTCTTTTAAATTCTCCTGAACAACTTTAGCTTGCGTTCAAATCACTCAACCTTCTATTGCTATAGTTCTTTTAAATTCTCCTGAACTCTCCTATTTACAACTTAGCTTGCGTTCAAATCACTCAACCTTCTATTGCTATAGTTCTTTCAAGTCTCCTGAACTCTCCTATTTTCTCTAAATTATTTAACATGTGCTCAACTAAATCTTGTTATCCAACTTGTTTGAAAATGGCATCTGTGGTTTCTATTTTGCAACACTTAGGAGATCATTCTGACCTCTCTAAATATTGTCCAATCCTTTTTACTATTATAAATCTTGGAAAATTTTTAAAACAGTTGTTTTTAATTAGTAGTAAAGTCATATTTAATGAAAAATAGTCTTTTTCATTCAAGCAATTTATGGTGTACCGTAGGGTTATATTTATTTTTACTCGTTACAAGTTCAAGTTAATAACTTCCAACTTAAAATGTGGTTACCTTCAGCTTAGTTGCAAGTGAGTTTGTTTTAAAAGAAAAGCTTATTTGTTTGTCTTTCTACTTTTTAATGTTATAAAATTTTTTTCCAACCATTTGATTCTGAAACGTAGTTGTTTAAAAACAATACTTAATTGTGGAATTTTAGTTTTAAAAAAAGTTTTTTGAGTTTGTTTTTTTGGGAGGTATATTTGGGAGGGATATTTTCAAATAAGTTGAGATCTATGAATTGTAAATAATTGTAAGTAATATTCTTTTCTTTGAATAAACCAAGAAAAATCAAATAGTTTAAATAATTATATAGAAAAAAAATAACAGAAAAAAAAGATAACAGAGACCAACAGTTAACCAAGCCCCTGAATTTATCTTGAAATTATGTGAAATTGTATAAGCCAGTTAGAGGAGATATATTTTTATAAATAAGCTTAACTTTTGTTTTATTTGGTTATTTTTGGTTTTTTTATTTTATTTTAGCTTGTAATTGAGTCAATATTTTATTTTAGATTGTATATGAGTCAATATTTTATTTTAGCTTGTAATCTAGTCAATATTTTATTTTAGCTTGTAATCGAATCAATATTAACTAAAGGAATCTATTCAATAGTAGATTTACAAATAAAGGAAGAAGAAATTTGCAAATGTATAAACTATTTATGTTTTATTAAATTGTAGCTAATAACTATTTATTATGTACTATATTTGTTTGTTAATAAGATAAATATTATTGTTTATTTTTAATTTTTTTTAATAGTGAATTGTTTAAACTGTACAATCAATGAAGAATGTCTTCAGCAAGTTGATAAATCAAAGTGTGTTTGTAAGACAAATTTTGTGAGAGACGATAATGGAACTTGTGTTTTTGCACCTCACTCAACCAAAAATCCCATAAGTGGTATTTCCAAAGGACCTGGTGTTGATGATTTTAGTCATACAAAGTCAACGGTTACTAAAAACAATATTTTATCAACTTTCAGCGATAAATCTACACTTCCTTTTAAATCTGTGGAAAAAAATGATAATCTTACATTAGCAGTAATAGCTGGAGTTTTTAGTGCTGTTGCCCTTTTGGTAATCTTTCTAGCAGTTTACTTGTGCTTTCGAAATAATATTCCTATAAAGTTGAAGCGCATGAGTTCTTTTGAATTACAATTGCATGAGATTGAAAAAATTGGGGAAATTGGTTATGCAAATGCAAAATTTTCGTCACATCAAGTGTCAATGGATTCTGTTACTTCTGTCTCCAACAGTTTTTATCGTTCTTATATGAACAATATTGGATCTGTGGTAAGTTTAACAGGGATGATAAAAAGATAATGGGGTTTTTCATATTTTTTTTTTTATATTTTTTAATTTGAAATGTTTTTATCATATAACTTTTTTTGTTGTTGTTGTAATAACAGGAAGAAATTTCTACACCGACTGTAGAAATAGTGAACAGATCAAGCTTAGTTTCTGTTAAGGTTGATCGCACTGGAGAAGAACCTATATACACAAGAATTAAACAATCTCATAATCAAAAGGAAGCAAGTTTTTTAAACCAGAATTTTATTATGAATGACACAGAGGTTTGTAATACCTTCACTATAACATTAAAATATTAAGTTTATTGTTTTGGTAATACTAATAAATAATAGTTGATTTTCAAAATCTTTATTATTGTTTGGTAATGTTAAATTAATCGTTGTTATTATTGTTTGGTAATGTTAAATTAATTGTTGTTATTATTGCTTGGTAATGTTAAATTAATCGTTGGATCTTATTACTTTATTTACTCACAATTTTTTCATAAGGATGAAGGAAAACAATCAAACCACTTGGTGAGTTTTTCTGAACCTGAGTATGGAGATTCTGTTTATAATGAGGATCTTTCTTCAGCAGAGTTTTGTATGCCTGGTAGTGACGAAGAAGAATTGCTTACAGGTTTGCATGAAATTGATAAAGAATCCATTGATATAACTGCTAAAGTTCTAGGACAAGGTGTGATTATTATTCTTAAGTTTTTTATTCTACTTAGACAAATTGATAAATGAAAATTAATTGACAAACTGAAATAATTTTAAATAAATTTTCATAAATTTTAATTAAGATTTAAAAATATTTTTTTTGATTTTTATTAAGTATTTATGTTTGCATCCTGGCTTATTATCTTTACTTTTATTTTTTTCTTTACACATTCACAAAAAAAAAAAATTAAAAAATAAATGAATTAACTCAAATTTACCTAATTGCCAAAATTTTTTCAAAAAAACAAACACCAAGTATATTACTTTAATCGACTTCAAAATCATATGCAAATAAACAAATTTTAATCAATCCCATTAAAAATAAAAAAATAAAAATTATAGACTTTTTTTTTTTCTCTCGCTATTTCACTTAATTAAAACATTGCAGATTATAAAAATATATACTTTACAATTAATTTTATGTTTCTTGTAGAGAAGTTTGTGTTTTTATGGGCAAGGGTGATTTTTTTATCAATAGAATACATTAGCAACCATTACAGCCATGTTTTGTCTGCTTATTTACTGACCCAAAAGAAATAATTTGATCAGCAAGATGTGTTACTTACAAGCATTTGGTTATCTACAAGCAAAAGTTTTAGTATTGACTTTTAAGGAAGAAGAAGTTATAATTAAGGATGGCAATCCGGAAATTATGTACAAGTTGTTCATCCTGAAATTCTGGGATTAGTCTTCAAAATTTCCCAGGATTTCTGTATTGTCATAAAAAAAATAAAGTACAAAAAGTTTCGGCTTAATTTGTAATTAAGTAATTTGTACAATATAAAGTGCAAATATAGGCTTTGGTATTGTAGCTGTATGCTTTTGTAGCTGTTTATTCTCTTTGCAATTTTTTCTTTTTATTCTCTCTCTTTCTGTATTTTATCGAAAATACAAACTAAAAACATTATTGCTTGTCTGCAAAATATGTATGATTAAACATATAAAAAATTTATATATAGTATGATATTAAAACTAATAAATTATTTAAGGTAAATAAAATTTTAGCACTTGCTGATTGGAAGATCAAAAATTTATTTATAAAAGTGCATAAAAAATGAGTTTGATAAAGTTATCCATTTACTCATGGATTGCCAATTTCCGATGGAGCAGCTTGCTGCTTATGTTAGACCAATTTGTGAAGTTAAAATTTAAAAAGCTATTGTGTTAAAAAGGCACTTCTAGAATAAGAATTGGATTCCAACATCGATGATTCAATTAAGATAAACAATATAGAATGTAGAATGATATGTAATTTAGTAGTACTTTTGATTCCCGTTAAAGCAACTATGGTAACACTTTGTTGACGAGATACAACTTTAATTTCTTCTGACATTGCATTAAAGTTCATGTTGACAAATATATAAGAACAACAATCTGAAAGCGGAAAACAGTTGTATGATGCTTTGAGTCACCTAATTAAAGAGAGGAGAACACCATTAAGGAGCTTAATATATCTTCATGGCCATGTTACTTCATAAAAAATCTCAGAAGTTTTGTACCAAATACAAGTAACCAAAATAAAAAAAATTATGATAAACCTGATAAAATGTTTAAACTTGGCAGATATAATAACAGCAGCAGACTTAAGTAATGATAGTTGGGTTCAGTTAAACCAGGCTTTTTTAAGCCACAAATGTGATAATAATACGAAAACAATAAGTGAACAATTAAATGAGGTAATGGAAAAAGGATTGGCAGCAATATGAACACAGCCTATAAGGGTAGAAAGTATAACATAAATATAACTCATCACACCCTGGTGGAATTAGGTTCAAAAAAAAAAAAATGTCCCAGGGTCATGTGACCTCTACTTACGACCAGGGTCGTACTGACCTCTACTTTCAGAAAATAACACCATTGAAAAAAAATTTTGAGGTATTTTTTCTTGTATATCCATTAAGCATTTTATTTGATCATGAATTGTTTGATGACTATTGCATATTTTAAAAGCTTTAAAATATTCACAAAAGACAGGCAAACATTTTTTAATTTTAGGTTTTTATGTGTCAAAATTTATTAAGAACAAATATATGATGTTTTGTACTCTTGTTTATAGGAAAGAGAATTAACATTGTTTTTTTTTCAACATTTTTATATATGTATTAAACTATTAATAGTTTAATACATATATAAAAATAAATGTATTATATTATATTATAATACTATAATATACTATATTAAATGTATTATATTATATATTATATTATTATATTATAACATTATATTATATATTGTATTAAATGTATTATATTATATTATTATATTATAATATATTACATTATAGTTTTCTTGTAACATTATTCCAACTTCCCAGTGCGGAGTTATTCTCTGAGGGATTAGTTTAGCAATCATTATAGAGAGTTTTTCATATAGGTTCTCTAAAGGGAATTGCTCATGTTGTAATTGTTAATCATTATTCTAAACAAGTGTTAGAAATAATTGTCCATGCTGAATTAATTTCGTAACAATCTTTAGAATAAATTTTAAAAAATCTATCAAAATCAATAAAAGGAAATCTATGCAAATCAAAGTTAATCATTAAACTCAATATTTCCTTTAATATATTTGGCAAAGTCTGCATTTTGTACCACCAGTACTTCAATGATGCCTAAACAAGCATTAAACCAAGAAGATAACTGAAAAAAAGTTTGCATTGTGTGCTTTGAGAAAGACAGAACAATTAGAGAAATAACTGGCCCAACCTATAAAAGACTTCAAAATTATTTTATCCCAAATATAGACTTGGCTAAGGAACATTATCCTTCTGGTATCTGTTCGCGCAACAGAAAATTTCTGGAACTCATTGAAAAAGGTATAAAAGAACTAAAAGCTCTTCCAGCACCATATGATTTTTCTGGAATAAGAACTTCAATTATTACAAGAATTCAGCCTACATGTGAGTGTGCAGTTTGTGTTGTTGCAAGGAAAAGTATTTACCCAAGATCAGGAAAAAATCGAAAAAAAGGTAGATGAATATCCACTGAATCAGTTCTGCCACCTCCCCTACCCATATCTGTATGTCAAAGATGCCTATGTACATTTTATTTGTTGTTTAGGTGCCCCAAGAAGTCCTTACGGTCTTATCACAGAGTACCGCAGAAGTGCATTTAACCAGGAAGTTCACGCCTCCTTTCTTACTGTGACGCGAAATATGTCCAAAGCTCATATTCGAACCTGGATCTCCTGCTTATAAAGCAAGCGCTCTAACCACTGCACCACGGCCGCACATTAGGACACAATTTACCTCACTCTTGCAATGTTTTAATTTACAGGGATAATCTTGAGGCAGCTCTGTCTAGAGGTATGACTGTATGTATGTATATAATAATTATTTAACCTAAAACCATTTGTGCAATAATAATTTACGTTAAAACCAATAAAATATAGTATTATGTGGGTTCATACAATTTTTGATGTTAAAGATATAATATATTATATTAAATATATTAATATATTTCAGATGAGAGAGGTACAGAGCTTTTTTGAACTTAAATCCTAAAGCGAAAGC